TGGCACCTACCTCTCCGCTGCAGACTGTGGGCTGTCTCCCTTCCTCTCGTCTTGCCACTGAACCTCTTGCTCGCTCATTTCTCAGGCTTGTAACGTCCCTCGTCATCCCTCTTTATCCTCTCCATCCCTTAGCATCCCTCTTCGTTCCTTTCCATCCCTCTCCCTCTCCATCCCTTTTCATCCATCTCCATCCCTTTCCATCCGTCTCCGTCTATGTCCATACCTCCCCATCCCTCTCCATTCCTTCCCACCCCCCTCTCACAACCCCATTCCCACCCTCCTTATCCTCCCCATCCAGGTGCATCTGGGGGAGCCATCTTCTCATACGGTGCATCCCTTGCCCTCGCGCGAGTCACCTTCAAGACCAACAGGGCCCTCGGCACCTCCCTTGCCGGCTCATTTTCCTCGGGCCTCGGCGGTGCTCTCTACGCCGTCTCAGGGCTCCTCACCCAGTCATCTCTCAGCTTCTGCTCCTCGTCCTTTTCGGGCAACTCGGGCAGTGCTGCCAACGGCGGCTCGCTGTACCTGCAGAAGGCGCCGGGCAGCCCAAAGTTTACGGGTGTGGTGACGTTTTGCAGCGGGAGTAAACCGGCTGGATCGGTGGTGCCCAAGAGTGGATGGCGGGTGGGCAGCCAATGCACAGCCAGGTGAGAGAGTGTGTGTTGTAGGGAGTGCGAGGTGGAAATGGAAGAGAACGAGTGAGAAGAGAGAGATAATGAGTCAATCAATAGGTTTCTTTTGTTTCTATCCCGTGCTCTTTTCCGCCTTCCCCTCACGTGGCTTCTGTTCCTCTCGTTCCCTCCTATCCTCCTCCCTCCCTACCCCCATGCTTTCTCTTACATTCCTCCCTCCCCAACTTCCGTCCTCCCTCCCCACCCCACCCATCTTGCTTTCTCTGCATTTGTTCCTTACTCACCACAACGTATAGGTTGTTCGCTTGCATCCTTCCCCTTTTATTGTTCGCTGTCTGTTTCCTACACGCGTTAACCACACTTGAACCCTTGGTACCAGAATTCAAGTGCCAAATTGAAGAATGACTCTTCCGCCTTGCCTCTCCCTTTTTCTTTGCCTCTCTCCCCCTTTTCCTCTGTCCAAGCAGCACCTGTGCTTGAGCTCTGGCTGTCATGCTTCACTGCAGTCGACTCCTGCCGTTTCAGCTGGCGCCTCACTTTACACTCCCCAGCAGTCATGCTTCTGAGGCATGGAATTGACACAAGTTGCAGCAATTGCATGGAGGGTGACATGGATAAATACCACTCTCCTTCACGACACTGAAGATGTACCCAATACTTTGTGAAGGCTCCCCTGGCAAAGTCTGTCCCGGTTGACTGATTGCTGTGAAACCTGCACCCATGCCTTGTCGGCGCACATACGGTATTTGTTTACGCTTTTTTGTTTTGCCCTTATCTCTCTTTGAACTTACCTTGCATTTTTTCCTTCACATCATAAGCTTGTTTGTTGAGTACCCACCTAGTATGTGCTGGCGATGTGCTTGGCATTCTTTCAATCCTTTGCAAAGAACAACGCATCACCAATGGTGTTGATCCATTTAAATGTGGGAGTGGGTGTATCAACCAATATATACACTCACAGTGGAATCGCGCAAATTCAGGGCAGCTCTGACATGACACGTCAAAATCTGCGACTCGCAAAGCTAGGCGAGGTTTGAGGTGGGCACCGCGTCGTCCGCTGCTGAATCCAAATGCCTCCTGTCATCCAAACTCCGTTCCTTTCAGCCAGTTTCCAGCGCGCGTCCCAACATTCGTCATTTGTGTAAATTGAGATATCGAAGATGGATGTCCCACCCATCCCCACCACTTCTACTTCTCATAACCACCATTCGCGCCGTGGCGTCAGGTGCGCATGACAGGAAGCCCTGCAATGTGGTGGAATGGGCACAAATCGCCACTAGTGTCGTCCGTCAATATGAGCACGGTTCCGTTCACTGCGCCCCATGAGAATCTCGTGTCGTGCAAACCATGCTGTAGGAGATCGCTGCTGCTCGTGACTTTGGTTCTCTCACCCCCACCCAGCTCGCGAATGAACTTACGGCTGCGTAGCATGAGTTTTCCCGATGATCAGGTTCTCACCCTCACGTGCTTTCCGATCGCTAGAGTCTAGCAAGGATAGGACAGTTCCTCTCAGAAAATCGTTATCCGAGTCGCAAGTATTCAATATTTGTGTCAAGGTTGCCTGTCTGCTATAGTCCACACTATTCGGTTACTACAATCGATAGAGTCAGGATGGCTCGTGGCAGGGAACGAATCACAGCACGCCAACGCAGTGCTTCTTTCGTCGTCGCATCGCTAGTCATTGGGATCGTCTGCGGTTGGCTGCCGCGGCGTCGGAGCTGGGAGATGCCATCAACAAGGCGAACAAGGTAGGCATGTATAGATTCACACCGATGCCACCAATCGCAGTGTAACACCTCGCTACCCACTGGGTCAAAACGAGGGTGTTATTTGGCGCAGCGGAGTGCCCTTAACACAGCCCACAGGCATTACACTCGTCCCCCCCTGGTGTCAACGTCCCCGTTGACGAACTTCAGAGAGTCGGCCCCCGCAGGGACCTGTTCGCTGTGCTCCAAGCAGCGACTTCGCTGGTGGACCAGGCCAGCGGAGGATCGTTCGCTGGGTTCGAGCTGGTTACAACCGCACTTCAGTTCTCGCCAAAGGCGGAAAGTGTGGTCCAGCCAGGATTCGAACCCTTGGCTCTGATTCCAAATGTAACACCTCGCTACCCACTGGGTCAAAACGAGGGTGTTATTTGGCGCAGCGGAGTGCCCTTAACACAGCCCACAGGCGTTACACGCGGCGTCAAATGGTAGCCTCTATGTTTTTCGAAAACTAGCGTCAACCCTCGCTAGGCTAAATGTGCTTGATGCGGCACGATTTCCACGCTAGCTTGCTGCTTTGAAGTCCTCTCAACTGAGTTAAGGCTTTACTCAACCCTTGCGAAAGTAACTACCATCTAACAATTTCGGCCAGCCTCGTGTTTGTTCGTGTCCACGTGGCGTGAATACAGGGAGGCGCAAGCGCGGCTCCCACAGTGCTCGTTCTCACATCCAACGAGCTGCTCGCGGCGTAAGTTCCCCATCAGTCCACGTCTGCGCATGTCACATTTCGCCACGCGTGCATTTGCCACCTCATATCACCTCATCCCATGAAAGCCGGTTACGTTCGTTACGTGAAGCATTGTCCCCTGATTTCGACCTTTGAGGCGCCTCAAAAGTCAGGCCCCATCCCTGCTTAGTCCCCTGATTTCGAGTCCACCCCCATCCTGATTGCTTGAGTCAACTAAGCCCTCTTTCCTATTCCCCTACACTCGCGCTTTCCACTCTCTTTCCTCCCTCTCGACCCCCCGTACCCCTCCCTCCTCCCCTTCCCCCAACCTTCTCTTTCCCCCTTCCCCATTTCCCCTTCTTCCCCCCCTCCTCCCCCCAGCCCCATCCCCGCACTCTCAGGCGCGGCCAAGCTGACCATCACGGGCACGTGTGGCGCCAACAGGACTACCAGGTGGGTGGTAGGGCTACTAGGTGGGTGGTAGGGTTACGAGGTGGGGGGTAGGGTTACCAGGTGGGTGGTAGGGTTACCAGCCGAGCGGTAGGGTTACCAGGTGGGTGGTAGGGTTACTGGCTGGGCAGTTGGGTTACCAGGTGGGTGGTAGGGTTACCGACTGGGCGGCTGGGTTACCAGGTGGTGAAGGATTTATGAGCTGGTAGAGGAGTCACTTGAGAATGGTTGGTTCAGTGGGTCAGGTCGGCTTTATCACCGTTACCATTACAGTTGCCATTACCATTGTTGCATTACCATTAACTTAGTTGCATTACCATTACTACTATTGTTGCATTGCCAATACTATTGTTGCATTACCATTAACATAGTTGCATTACCATTACCATTGTCGCATTCACCATCGCCATCGGCTTGATACGTCTCCTCTCTCCTCTCTCCAACCATATTTGCGCACCATTTTCGTCCCTCCTCCCCAACTATGTTGGCGGGGTGGCGCCTTCCCCATATTCACCTCCCCCTCGTCCGGCCCCACGGGGGGGCTGTTGACTTAGGTCAACCTCAACTTCCAGCGGGCGGCAGGGGGCGTCTTTTACAACGTGCACACGTCGGTCAACGCAAGTCAATGCGATTTTGTGGGAAACACGGGCCCTATCGTTGGTGGAGGGGTGCTCAGGTAGGGAAGTGGATCGTTGAGGGGGTATGAAAGACTGTGAAGGATGATTAGGTGAGAATGTGTGTGTCACATGTAAGAGTGTGTGGTGCAGACTCGAGTGTGTGTGGTGCGGATGAGAGGGTGTGGCATGCAGTGGAGCATGCTACGCCACACCACACCACACCACACCACACCACACCACACCACACCACACCACACCACATCACTCCACACCATACCACACCACACCACACCACACCACTCCACACCACACCACTCCACACACACCACACCACACCAAACCACACCACACCACACCACTCCACACCACACCATACCACACCACACCACACCACACCACACCACTCCACACCACACCACACCACACCACACCACACCACTCCACACCACACCACACCACACCACTCCACACCACACCACACCACACCACACCACACCACACCACACCACACCACCACACCACTCCACACCACACCACACCACACCACACCACTCCACACCACACCACCACACCACACCACACCACACCACACCACACCACACCACACCACACCACTCCACACCACACCACACCACACCACACCACACCACACCACTCCACACCACACCACACCACACCACTCTACACCACACCACACCACTCCACACCACACCACACCGCACCACACCACACCGTGCCACAACATTGTACACTATGGTTTTAAAATGCTTCCCTTCCAACCATGAGTGACAATGCACTCTCCATCACTTCTCACCCACCCATACCTCCCTCCCCCTTCACTTTCTCCCCAACCACCAGTGAATCATTCCCTATGGCAGCCACCGTTCAAGGCCTTCCAACCCGTCTCTTCTCAAACTGCACCTTCAGTAGCAACACGGCGCCCACCTTGGGGGGCGGCGCTATTAGCATTAATGGGGGCAAAAGCATGGGCCGAGTGCCGGATATGCGCTTTGTGCGCTGTGCCTTCCAGGACAACAGCGCACCCACAAGCCTGGGAGGGGCGATTTCGGTGGTGGGGATGGGCTGGGTGCGGTTCGACAAGTGCTTGTTTTTTGGGAACCGTGCTGGTGAGTGAGTGAGTGAGTGTGTGTGTGTCTGGTGGGGAGAAGGGAGAAAGGGGAGGGGGGTTGGGGGGTTGCGGTGTGTGTGTGTGTGCAAGTGTGTGTGCGTGTGCGTGTGCGTGTGTGCGTGCGTGCGCATGTGTGTATGTTTCCTTGTGTAAGTTGTCCTGTAGTGTGTGCATCTGGTAGGACCGGAATCTACCCAGTAGCATCCATTCACATCTTGAGTCGACCACAAACATTCGCACTGCTCCCTTCCATCATCCAGACACATCGGAGGGAATCAACTTCCGAGCAAGGTGTCTTCTGGGCAAGGTGTCTTCTGGGCAAGGTGTCTTCTGGACAAGGCCGATTCTGGGCAAGGCCGATTCTGGGCAAAGCCGATTCTGGGCAAGGCCGATTCTGGGCAAGGCCGATTCTGGGCAAGGCCGATTCTGGGCAAGGCCGATTCTGGGCAAGGCCGATTCTGGGCAAGGCTGATTCTGGGCAAGGCTGATTCTGGGCAAGGCCGATTCTGAGCAAGGCCGATTCTGAGCAAGGCCGATTCTGAGCAAGGCCGATTCTGAGCAAGGCCGATTCTGAGCAAGGCCGATTCTGAGCAAGGCCGATTCTGAGCAAGGCCGATTCTGAGCAAGGCCGATTCTGGGCAAGGCCACTTTGCAAACAGCAATCCCTCTTTCCAAAGTCACCCGCCCTGCCCTCTCTCCATCCTCCCCTCCATCTTTCCAGGTGTATCTGGGGGAGGCGTCTTCTCGTCAGACACCTACCTCTCCTTCTCCCAGGCCACCTTCAATAACAACATGGCCCTCGGGAAATACAATGGCGGCACCGGTGTCTATGTCTGCACTGTCTACGCCGTCTCAAACGAGCTGGTACCAAACATGGCAGTTCATTTCTGCTCGTCGTCCTTCTCAAGCAACAGAGGCTTCTATAAAGACGGGGGCGCCCTGACTGTGCAGACTAACGCGGACCACCCGCAATCCTTGGGGAAGGTGGCGTTTTGCGATGGGGCGAAGCCAGTAGGGTCAATAGTGCCCACGATTGGGTGGTCACTGGAGTTTAACTGCCCAGCCAGGTGCGTCTTTGTCACTTTAGGTTCTCAAAAGTTTTAAGTGCGGTGCAGAATAATTGCCCAGCCAGGTGAGTTTGTCGCTTCTGAGAGCAGCATGAGCAGTCTGGCAGGGTCGATGGTGCCCACGCTTGGGTGCCCACGCTTGGGTGGTGGGTGCGGACCAACTGCCTGGCCAGGTGTGTTTGTGTCACTTTTGAGAATTCTCAAAATTGGTCGGTGCGGACCGAGTGCCTTGCCAGTTGATGGAGCAGGCAGGCCAGCCCGGTGAGTTTGTGTCGCCTTTAATGGTTTCAAAGGTGGTCGGTGCGGACCGAGTGTCTGGCCAGGTGAGGGGGCAGGCCGGCCAGGTGAATGGGGAAGAGTGGGTAATTGGGTAAATCGAGTACTGTGGGAGCAGTGTGAGCAGGGCAGCATGGTCAGTCGTGCCCATGCCTTCGTGGTGGGGGCGGACCAGGTGCCCAGCCAGGTGAGGAGGGGGGCTGACCACGGAAATGGGGAGGAGTGGGTGAGGATTTGGGGGCGGATTGCTTGTGGCAGTGGGAGCAGTGTGCGCAGGCCAGCTGGACCAGTGGTGCCGAAGAGTGGGTGGCGTGTAGGAAGGCAATGCACAGCCAGGTGAGGGGGGAGGCCACATGGGTAACTGGCAGAGAATGGGTAACAAAGGGGTTTTGAGACGTCTCAGAACCGCCTCTCAAAGAATGGGTGACAAGGGGGAGTGGTGGGATTAGGAGTAAGGGGGTAGTGCTGCGGAGCAGGAGAGCAAGGCAGCTGTATCAGTGGTGTTGAAGAGTGGGCGGTGGGTGGGGAGCAAATGCGTAGCCAGGTGAGAGAGTGTGGGTGGGTGAGGGATGGGAGAGCATTGGGGGAAGAAAGGAGTCAGGAGCAAATGCACTGGCAGGTGAGAGTCAGTGCGCACTTGGGGGACATGTGAGGAGGGGAAGAATGAAATGACAAGTGTATGGAAAAACTCTACGTGCAGTGGGAGCAGGACTGTGGTGTTGGTGATGCGCAGCAACGGAATTTTAGATGTTGGTGCAGACAGGAGGTAGACCGGCCATAAAACGTTGACATAGAACACGATGGCATGGTGTGAGTGAGACAGGGCTGCAGTATAAACTTGCCCCTCCCCTCTCCCATCTCCCCTCTCGCCTCTCTCCCGTTATTTCTCCCTCCTCACAGCACCTGTTTGCCCTGAACTTCATGCTTCAAGGGAGTCAACTCCTGGCCTTTTGGCTGGCGCCAGGCAGCTTGTACATAAAACTACACAACAACAAGCGTGTGTGATATGAGCATATGACATAACACCCTCCGTTGCAACATCGAAGATATACCCGCATCCGAAGGTTCTCCTGGCAAACGGTCGTCACAAGATGACACCTATGGAGTTAGAGCCCTCAACTTGTTTGTGGGTGCATAGAGATTTGTTTCTGCCACCCTTTTTTGTTTTTTTCGTCTATTTTTCTTTTGATGGCGGCGTATCCGATGCAGGGCCAAAAATATCAGGGTTACCCTTGCCCTGGTGGGTGGACGCTTTTTGGCAGCTACCCTTGCAAGCTCAGTGTAACAAGATTTTTACCCTAGAACAAAAAGAATTACTTACCGTCTCCCCCCGGATATAAGCGCCACCCTAGGATAAGCGCCTGGCGCTTCTAATTGGCATATGGCGCTTATATCCCCTCCTCGATTATAAGCGCACCCCTTGAAAAAACTTGTTTTATTATAAGCGCACGTAAACTTTAAAATTTGAAATGTGTTCAAAAAGCTGTAACGATTTTTACTTTAGCAGGCGGATATGTTGCAGAATCGGTTCCCTTCACATTCGGACCCTGCACTGGATGCGGGTCCAGTCAGCAGGACCTGTCAGGAGCTGGATGTGAGTCAGATTGGGTGTATCTCCCAGCGCGCGCGAGAATTTCACAGACGATCCCATGTAACTTCGACTCGATTGAAAAGGCAAGCACGAGACCTACAGTTTGGTGTTAAAAGATATAAAAAAATATGTATGTCATTTTATAAACGCCGGCGCTTATAAATTTACTCGATTATAAGCCCACCCCCATGAAAAAACCTGTTTTATTATTGCCCCCCATGGGGGTATATCCGGGGGGATACGGTATGTTTAACCCTGAGACCGACATCTGTTACCCTGCCTGTACAGGGTTCGATGAGCAGTACACTGATACCGGACCCTTCTTGACAAATTGTGACATGGTCCCACCGCCTCCCTTGTCGCTTTCGACCAGAGGTGCAAAACCAAAAATATATATATATATATATATATTTTGGCGGGCCACCTCTTCTTCCTATTGGTTGATTGAGCCACACTTCAGCAAACGCACCCCGGAGTTCTGCCACAACACACCATCCCCATTGACAACTGTGTCAAATGATGTAGTCTTAGTGATGTGTGTTATAGGGGGTACAATTGTTATGGTTATGTTTATGTACCCCAACCAACCTTAGTCAATCAACACTTTCATTCTTGACATGGTATCACCTAGGTTAGGATCATGTGGGATCCTGCTAGCCTCTCTCGCGCGTTGCACGTAGTCGACTGTTTCATGGAGGTCCACACGTTCCTCCTCGGTCTCGACCTCTACTGCTGAGGCCGAGATCTACGCTGGAGCTATGGCTGCACAGGAGCTGCGCTGGCTGACGTTCTTGCTCAATGACCTTGGTGAGCAGCCGAGCTCTGCGTCGACTTTGTTAACTGATAACAAGGCGATGATTCTCCTTTGTCGATACCCGCGACTGGAGAGCACAGTGAAGCACATTAACGTCAGGTACTTTCTTCCGCGAGATTTGCAGAGGCGTGGACAGGCTCGCTTCGACTTTGTCGAGTCCGAGTCCAACACCGCAGACATCTTCACCAAGGCCCTGCCGCCTTGTGACCACCAGAGGTGTTGTGTGCACTTAGGTCTCGTTGACTCAGGTTTTTGCCTTGCATAGTTTTGATTGCTCTCCTTGCTTTGTTTGTACACTTTACATATACCTCTGTGAACTCTTGAACTAGCCTTGTGGCTCTTTTGCTTGTGCTCGGAGTGTGTGGTGACGTTGTGATCCACCCTGAACTTTGTTTATTTGTGATTGGTCTTGTGACCGTACACTTTTGGTTTTGCTTGACACCCCTCGCTTAGCGCAGCGGTTCTCAGGTGAGGGTGATGGGAGGGAGATGAGGGAAAGGGAGGGGTGGTGAGTGTGTGTGTAGTGCACGTGAAAGTGCGTGTGTGGTGTGCACTTGAAAGCTTGTGTGGTGTGCACTTGAAAGTGTGTGTGGGTGTGCACTCGAAAGTGTGCATGGTGTGCAATGAAAGTGTGTATGGTGTGCAATGAAAGTGTGCATGGTGTGCAATGAAAGTGTGTAAGTAAAGTTCATGTGAGAGAGTGTCTGGCGCATGGAAGCATGGTGCATCAAAATATAGCATGCTGATCTGATGTGCTCTTCAAGTCGTCTCATGCTGCACCTTACACGGCAACGCAACCGCAAACGGTGACTAATAGCCCCCCTATTCCGTCGCACATTCCATTGTCCCTCACCTACTTTTGAGAATCCACACAAGCAACTTGACGACAAACCGTGATTGATGGTTCGGTGAATCGCCAATCACGGTCCCCTGGGAGTTCTCCTTATTCCCTCCCACACTCTAAATCACCTGCCAACCCCACGCAACCCACTAGCGACTCCCACCATACACCCCTACCTACCGCCTTTTCTCAGCAATCCGTGATTGATGCCCGCTATTCCCTCTCACACTGTCGGAAATTCCCTTACCTCTCCTTGTCCTGATGCCCTTCCCCTATCTCTCCCTCCTCTCTTCCCCACTCTCTGTCAGATCTCTCGTTTCTTATGTACCACCCCCCCCCCTTTGCTCTCTGGCTATGCTGACTCCTGCCTCTGAAGTCGTTCCCTCCTGCTTGCTTGCTTGATGTAACCTCACTGCTGACTTTGCTCCTTCTGATGCTTAGTATTCCCTTGAAGAGCTCATGCAGCTCACTCACATCCACTAATGAGCACCACCTACGTCACTTCTCCATATCTCCAGGATTTGTTATGGCATGCCGCTCACCCCCACACGATTCTAAAGCAATCACATGAGTATTACAGGACATACAAACAATGCAGAGTCAAATGCCCGTACCCCCTATATCCTAGCCTACTTCCTCCCCCTATTGCTACACCGTTAACGCCCTTCGAAGGGGATGGCCTCCCACCGAAGCGAAAGGACAGCCTTCTCATCCTCTTGCCACCGCCACTTAGCCGCCCCACTGCTTGACCTCCAGCTCGCGCCTGTAACTCCAGCTGGCTCAGGCATCCAACCTGCAAGGAAACAAACATGCATTCTTCACACAAAGCAAAAGCTCCATCCAGTTGTCTCCCTTCCCCGCTCCCCCCATGCGACTGTCTGCTGACTCGGCAGCCCAACATCGCCCAGCCATCATCCGAGCCTCGGTCCCTATCCTCAGTACCGGTTTACTCGTTTGCCTGTACAAATGTACATTATGTACACTCCCATCCGTTCTCCATATACTTGCGACAGCTGTCGGAAATTCCCTTACCTCTCCTTGTCCTGATGCCCTTCCCCTATCTCTCCCTCCTCTCTTCCCCACTCTCTGTCAGATCTCTCGTTTCTTATGTACCACCCCCCCCCTTTACTCTCTGGCTACGCTGATTCCTGCCTCTGAAGTCGTTCCCTCCTGCTTGCTTGCTTGATGTAATCTCACTGCTGACTTTGCTCCTTTTGATGGTTAGTATTCCCTTGCCCCCTCCCGTGACTCTGTGCCGCCCTCGCCCTAGTCACGGGACCCTGATATCCTGCTGCTCCTCTGGTAATGTGGTCACGTTGGTAATGTGGTCAACCGCTCTCACCCCTGCTTCGCTTTCCAGCACCAGCACACCTAACTCGCGCACTTCCTTCACTGTCCAGCGTTGCTGCGATAATCCCACATCCAGCCCATCCTTCTTGGGACGACTGATATACACCTCCTGGCCTTGTTGTAAGGCTTGTAGCTTTCCGCCCGCCCTCTGCTCCTGCCGCTGCC